TACACATACATACATATATACATATATACATACATATATATACATACATACATACATATGTATCGAAAATAATGGTGCAAATCTATATTGACATACATATGTCATTAATATGTATAGAGACATAAAAAGGGTATGTGGCTCACGATCAATGCATGCAAATACAGACACAAAAAGAAGGGTTGTGATTGTGTCGTCGTCTAAAAACTGTGTATGCATATGAAATAGTCAGCTTTACTCGTATGGTGCACTCGATCTCGGGTCTTGTCTTTCGAGCCTTGCAAGCTCAGAAAAGAACCGGCAAGCCCAATCGCTATGATTGACATACTATCCGCCCACGCTTCGAATAACTCACTTCTACACCTCGCCATCTCGGATACTTCGATCGATTTGTACGTCTCGACATGTTTTACAACCACACTCGAAACCATAGTTCATCCACAGGGCACGTTTTCTCTCACCGACATCCATGTCTCTGTTGCCGTAGTCATAGCACACGTATATTTCCTGCCCTACGTCCACCTCCTGATTCGTGATTATCTCAATCATCGCCCCGTCGTTGCCTACATCGGCATTTGGCGTACACGAGTGATTAAAGTAGCTCGCTATATCGTACACAGCCGATATACGATGCTCGGCACTATCATCAACCTCATGCTTAAACCCAAAACTGTTTAACCTAAGCGCGCCAAACACCCTTTCGACCAGTGCGAGATTAACCCATTCCACCCCATCGTTACCACAGCCCAGCATATCCTGCATCGCTTTTGCTAGTAGCGCATGTTCATCTTTAAGACTCAGCCCATCTCGGCTCGTCTGCCCACTACGATTGTAGAAGTTCTTTGTGAAACACAGCGATTGGAATGCACATGTGAAATCATCATTATTCGGATCTACACTAGCCGTGAAAAGCCTAATAAGTGTTTTCAAAGCCATCCCATTGTATCTCCCGGTCATATCACTCCCACCGTTATCTCGGAGAACTTGACTGACATCGTTGGATCCAATTAATGAATAGTATATGGACGTGCTTTTCTTGCTCATATCCAGACATTCGCCCTGGCACGCCCTCCGATAGCAATGCGGACAGAACACATACTTTGAATTCGTTTGTGAGCTATTGATAGATTCATTGTCCAAGTTTTCGTGGACATCTGTATGTTTTTGTGATTGTGGGTTTGTGTGTGGTGTAGTCTGCTTAGCTGTGTAATCGCAGGTTATTGTATCAGAGTACGCTAATAGAGGTGACGCTCGAAGTAGTGTTGTAGCTTTGGGAATCGTCTTGGCTGCGTTGATACACCGGCCACCGAGGTGTTTGGAAGGGCTTATACCGAAAAGGGACATCGTCTTCACAACAAGCAATGTACATATACTTTGAATAACATCGAATGATTTTGCTGCAAACGAATGTGTTTTTTGTTTATGTACCTTTATTATTCTTTTCAGTAGGCCTGTCTGGCGTCTGCCTGTCATCTAAATTCAAAAAAATACATATACGCGCGAAAATATGTAGTGATCTCATGAAAGGAATATTTTTAAAAGGTACATAGTGATTTCACTGATTTGTGCAATCAGTCGCATCTATCAATAGAGAAACATATATATCTGAACATTTCTGATAGTGATACGTACATATAGTATACGTGCTGTGCATCGCCAACAACCACAAGACGAAAGCATGATGGCGTACGCAGATAGAAAAGAATGGGAGGATGTGGTGCCCATAGAACAAGACGATGGGCCTAACCCCCCCTGTGCGATATCCTACAGCAAGGCATACGTTGATGCAATGAACTATTTCAGAGCGGTCATGCATACATGCGAGAAGTCTCAACGGGCATTCGATCTGACTACCGGTGGGTGCCAGTGCTTTGGTTTAGCCTTTCACATGAAACGAATGAAAAGGATATTTGCAATAGACGTCGTATCGGTATCTGTATTGAGTGTTGTTCGTAGTTGTTTGTTGCTTACGTTCAGATGATAGCATATACTCTATTATCTATTTGCTATACCGACGCAACGGCATAGGTGTTACAACTATAAGTTATAATTCTAGATCGTGTTTAGATATGTATTCATACATCATAGGATATGTATATCAATCAGTGTTTATATATATATATATATATATATATATATACACACACACACACACACACACACACACACACACACACACACACACACACACACACACACACACACACACACACACACAC